CACTTGGTAAAGAATACTTGGGCGGTTAATGCGGGGCTAATGATTGTAAAACACTTTTTTTCTGAAGTTATTGGAGACATTTTCTTGGTCTCCGCCACTCAACTTTTAACCTTATAAAGGAGAGCACTTCACTTGTTAGAGCTGGCGAGACTGTTTATTTGCTTGGATGTCGCTTAAAGTTGTCTGTGTAATATATGTTTGACAGTTTTCTCTGAAAGTCAGACTTTAACATGAATCCTTTCTATAAAAGAATCACTTTCCTTGTTGCGACAGATACCTCCTAAATGTGTTTTTATAAGGTTTGGAAGTTTCAAACAGTCTCTATACTGACTGGTTGGGCTTTCAGCTACTGCGCTTTATCAGTCATTATTAGATACTAGATACCAAAATAATAGCCCAAAGTGACAACTGAGTTTGAGATGTGTAGTGTCGCTGTGTGAGGCTAAATCTTGTCCAGGAAATAAAAAGTGCAGTTATGTCACAGAAAATGATGGTTCCCTGATGGTGCCTTAATTGTTTTCTTGGATCTACATTCAGTATGCAGTCATTATTGTGTGCATCATCTTCATCCTCTGGTGATTTTGATTTTAAGAAAGACTTTTTTCTTTTTAAGTCAAACAGTTCGTCCACCAGTCAAATTACCAGCACCGACATCATCAGTCAGTCACTAATGTATAGCGGGGCTATCACTGCAGATAAATTAATAAAATCTTATTTTTGGTCACTATAATTTTGATCAAATAAGTACACAAGTCAGACCAAGCACTGGGCATATTACCAAAAGGAAATTAAACTTCAGTTTGGGTCAAAGAAACATTTTGATTATTATGCTCTAATCAGAGGCAATAATGTAATAACTCCAACATTACAGTGAATATAATCTGTATTCTAAATAGCTCCCTGTCTATAAAAAGTAGAGCCAAGTGAAAAGATTTGGCCATCTTGACTCTTGTCACCAATAAACCGAAGTGGATTTAAGCTGTTTTACTATGATACATTCTCTGTGGTCGGACTTACAGTGTGCACAGATTATTGCCTCTATCACTGCTGGGACAGATAATATGGCATTCATTAACATCCTACACAGCAGCCCAGTAAACTCCCGGCTGGCTTAGTTACAGTGAGATGCGGATAAAGTTCCTCCCTCTCTCACTGTTAGTGTTGCCTCTGAGAACATGAAGAGAGCAGCGACATAAGGGGATTTCAAGCTGTAAAGTCGGCTGTACAGCGTTTATGTTTTAAAGCAGCATGCAAAGTTGGAACTCATTTCATTTGCATCTTGTCAGCTGAGCATTTCTTGTCAGCTCCTCAAATTAACTGTTTGCATTTCTTCAACATCACAAGCATTAATTTCCATCAGGATCAGTTCGAAATCGCAGAAGTATAAAAGATTTAAATAAATGTCATGACCAAAATAAATACGCCAAGAATACAAATAGGGTTCAACAGATCACACTGCATCGTGACCTCAATTCCTTAAACTCAAACTGTAGCTGAGCAACAGCTTCTTTTTGAGCCAAATTTCACAGTGCTGGTTACAGAATAGGCTTTAACCTCTCGGAAAGGCCTAAAGTCATGAAAAGAGAAAAGTACAGCCACATTCCCAACTAGTGAGTATTTCCTTCCCGGTGCAAGTCACACAAGAGGGAGCTGGATTTGTCCCTGCATTATTTACTATTACCATTCTCTTTGTTAGCCAGAGTCACATTAATGAATGCATGAGGAGTTGCCTATTTGATGACCACAATGCATAGGGGAGACTCGTGGTACACCAGTGCTCCATTTGTGTGAGCTGAATCATTCATCACACGCCACACACACACACACACACACACACACACACACACACACACACACACACACACACACACACACACACACACACACACACACACACACACACACACACACAAAATGCACAAACACAGTTTTACGGGAATCATGTGAGCTGTAGACGGAGACTATAGTCGTCTTAAAGTCTTTGAGCCCTAATCTGCATTTTTGTTTGTGACCGACGTTTTATTCCTATGACAATACAGAACCAAAAATGCAGCCAGCTGGAGAAAATGTTTGGGCAATATGAATTTCAAGTACATATCACACACAAAGTGCTGACTTTCAGCATGAATTCATGATGAGCGATGTTAAACTGTAGCCCTTTTTATACAGTCCTCCAATTTTACCCAATTTTATGGGAAAACCAATAGACAAGTTAACATAGTGGATTATATTTTATTTATTATTAACACTGTCTGAAGTCTACAGGCACTGGCAGACGTTAGCAGTAATGACCTGCCAGGTCTGTACTAAGTGCTTGTTCACTTTTTGCTTGTTTGGAGGGCTTTTTGGCTTCAGTCTGGTACCAAATGATGCACATGAACACACTCAATTGGACTGAAATCAATCTTTAAGTGTGACATTGCTCTGTTATCATTCAGTGTATTTGTTTAAATGCAAATAACACCACAATCAGGCAAAAGAAAAAAGAAACATTTCAATGATCAATTATGTAAGTAAGTATTTTTACCTGAGCCTAGAATTTGCGTGTTGTGCAACCTTGTGACATAGCATCAAATTTTCAAACTTTCAACAAGGTATAAGACAAAATGTGATTACAATAATGAAGATTACTATGTAGGCTGTCTTTGGCAATCAGTCATTGAACAAGCTAGCAAGCTAATGTTATTTGAATGCATTTCTAAGGGTTAATTTCACTGTAGTCAGAACTGTTCATCATATAAAAAAGTCGAAACAAATCAGTCCTCATAATGTTTGTCACAACAACAAGTATGCTTTAATACCCAGTGAGCAAAAGAATGGCCAATTTTGCAGCCAAAACTTGGTGCAAACATGCAAGCTCATACAGAGCAACACAAAGCAATGTTTGCATTTTCAAAGGATTTAGACTGAAGACTGTGAAATAATACCTCCAGTGGGGCGGCAAAATGTTCATTATTTCAGGGATTTACACTGAATTGCCAGTTTTCTGCCTATTTGCACATTCTTACGTAGTCTTGCAAAAACTTTAGTGAAGCGTTTAAAGTTTGGTCTTTACTGACTGACAGGTGTTGATTTAAGTCCATAGTAATCTTGATGCTTTGTGCAGTTATTGGTTGTGGTTATTACACCTGTAGCAGTCTGTTACAGGTGTAGCAAAAAGCATTAGAAACACCTGTTGCCTCCAAAACCTGGTTCTAAGTGGAAACTGGTGCTTAATTAGTAACAACCTTTAGTCTGCAGTTCTATCTGTGCTTATAGAAATATGTTTAGTATCATTTGCACAGATCTCCCTGTATGGATGTGAACAACCTCAAATATCTTTAAAAGCCCCTAAAAACTATTTTCTCAACCAGCTTATAACTGAGAGTGACAGCATCCTTCATGAACACACATTTTCTGGTCTTCAAAGTTAGAACAGTTAGATTACTTCACATCAGACATTTCTGTGAAGTTGTAAAAAAAAAGAAGATGTCATGGTCTTCAGTGCCCCAATCAGGATTTCGCAACATGAATCAGAATCTGATGGCTGTTCGTGGGTTGTTTGGTCACTGTCATCAAATCTGATCAAACCACAGATCCTGTTGAAAAAGACTGGCTGATTTTTGTGGGATAAACTTTTATGAAATACTACCTAAAGATGTTCTTCCTTTTGTAACCTTGATTGTTACTTATTTTGCTTATGAATAATTAATGTTATACAAAAATACTTAAATATTGAAGCAAAGTTTACAGGGGCTTTAAAGCTGAAAGCTCTTCGGCCTCATTATTGTTTCATAGCAAAATGTGTTCGGGGGAAGAGCCAAACTTATAAGTATTCCGATTGCGCTAAATGTAATTAAAAAGTTTGACTTATGAATAAAAAATCAACAATTTATGTTTTTCAACATAATTTTTTTTTCGATGTAAAACATATAAGTCTGTTTTAATGGTGATTAAAACATTACTGATGTATTCAAACTTTAAAGGTGCTGTAAGTGATATTTTATTTTGTTAAAATAAGTGTTTAATAGCTTTACATTCCAACAACCATCACTCATATCGCGTGTTCGGTCAGCAACATGGGTCTCCCAGTCCCTCCTTTCTGCAGTAATAAGAGAATAGATTTTCTGATATCCTGTTCCCACTTTATCCAATCAGGAGAGGAAATCTACAAAGAGGTGGTCCTCTAGGGCAGGCAGCACAATTTCAGTGTTGTGATGTGGGGAGGAGGGAGGGAACTGCTAACAAGACGACAATTTCACTTAAAGCACTTTTAACTATTAGCATCATAAAATATTAATAACTCATTATTAGTTAGTATATGTAAAGACCTGTCAGTCATTATGTGAGTAATAGCGGGGTTCCAGTCCTGTGCTTTGAAATTTGCTGCTAGGGATGTCATTTTGTTTACGTATGGATCACGAACTGTGTCTTTAAGTAAATGCAAAGCTTCAGATGCTTGGGCACGCAGGCTTTGATATTGACACATCTGCCTACTGAGCCTTCACATGAAGGCACAAAACATCAGAGCGCAGCACAACACACACCACTCAACAGGACTGTCCACAAGAGCCTCATTTTATATTCATAGTAAAAATTAAAAAGGCAATGACAGGCTCTCTCTTTCAGACACACACGTAAACACTCTGAGGACGGAGAGAGGGAATGAAAGTGAGAGTGAAATGAATACATGACATCTAAATAAGTTATGGTTGTACATCCTTTTACCAGAGAACATAGCAAACAGATCAAATAACGATGGACATTGATAGACATTACCGCCAATATATGAATGATAACTCTAACTTGAACGGAATGAGCCCAAATCTAAACAAATGGCATCTTAAGCTCATCAACTGCAGCTCTAAACTGAAAAGAAAAGTGCAGACGTGTCCGTGGCTGCAGAGTAACAGAACATCATAAAAACAGAGTTACCCTGTAAGTAAACCAGACAGATGACTGCTCCTCTCCAGGCAATACAGGAGAAAATGTTACTTGTTTGAAGTGCAAGAAGCCCTCACCTCAGCCACAGGCACTCCCTCTGGGGGACGACAGTGCAACACAATCATGCCATTCAGAGGCACCTCAGTGCCTTGGGGGTCCTGCTCAAAGTTCTTCCTCAGGTCTGAGGGAGAGAATAAACAGCCTGCATTAAAGAACAACAGCATGAAGGAGCACAAAAAAAATGCAATTTGTTCCATGTGTGACCTTCTCCCCCTCACACATACATACAACCCTCTACAAAATCATGGCACCAGTTTGAAAAATAACCTTTACAGGGACAATAAGGTCGATCCGGTATGAAAGTAAAGGGGAATTGCTTACAGGCGATCCGAACTGTTGCCTTGCGGCTCTTGGAAGTTCCCAGGTGGCTCCAGGCGACGCACAGACACCAGTAATCCTCTGGGCCATGAAAGTCCTCCACCTGCTGACGTGACACGTTGATCATCACCTCGCGGATCTTCAGCCCTGCAGACAAGATGGTTGATTGCTTAGATTAGCTTTCATTATATCACAGGGATGATTCATCAAAGTGAGGAAGATTTGTGGGGACCGGATGATGAGTGAAATTTGAATCTGATAAGATTATCAGCAGTAAACAGATCTGCCATTTGCCAGGAGGAGAAGGAGGAGAGAACGCTAGTCAAACCAAATCAATTTCAGGGATTTTGTTTGGACAAGAATTTAAACTGTACTGTATGCTTTCATCTGGTTCAAAGTCATAGAGCTGGCCGCCTCCATGCAAATCCTGACATCCATGTCATTACTGGTCTTTTGACAAACCCTTGTTAAGACTTCAGTTTTGGCAAACAGATAGCCAGCAATGCCAAATGCTGGGTGTACTGGTGAGCGCTCATATCCTCTTTCAGTATCTATAAAACACAATCCATTTATACGGAAGTGACACTAAATGCTTTCCAGTGGAGGCATTAACTGAGAAGAACACATCAATCAGCCTGTTTTTGTTTTAAGGGAGAGCGTGAGCACTCATTTTTTTCTTTGAAAACATTTGAAGGGGCTATAATTTGAGGTAGAACAGAGAAGCAAAACAACGCAATTAAATACTGCATCTGAACACAGATACTTTCTATGACAATCAAATCATCTATTTTTGCAGTAGAACTTTGACTTAATGTCACACAGGTCATTCGTTAATATCAGTATATTGTCTGTGATAATGAGCTAGGAGTGAGACGGACATTTTCGGAGACAACTGATGGGAATTTAAAAGCCTGGTATTTCAATTACGCGAGACTACGCACAAAAGATGACAGGCTCGGACCATTAAAGTATGATAGGTGGCTTTATTGGGTATCTAGGAAATTGCAGCTTTCAAACCAACACATGTGATGTCTGTCTAGCACGGCAGAAACCTGAATTTCAGACACCCAACTTGAAAAGATTTATTAATATATGAATACAGAGTTATAAACAGCTAATGTTTGGTGTCAAGTGTCTGACCTCATCACTCCCCACAGCATGCAATTAGGAATGCAAAGAGGGGGAATGGGGAGTGCCAACAACAAAAAGAGAGCCTATGGGTGGATTCTGGGGTGGAAGTGGTGCTGATTAAATGGATTATATGAGCAGCAGTGATGTAGTTGTGCTGCTACAGTTGAAGGAACAGCGGGAGCAGAGCACTGCTCCCGGGCCCTTTACTTTTCTCTGCTTCACAGACCTGCCATTCTCTACCTTTGTGCCAGATGCTCTCAGACACACGTGCTCCTCCTCTCATCAGTCCTACAGTTTACCTAGCCTACTCCGCCTACTCCTCACCAGCAACTAATTCCATCATCAGCCACAGTATACATCAAGTCTACTTCCTTTGTTCCTTGTCAGGTTGTTAAGTTGTTGATTTGTTGTTGAGGCCTGTTACCTGCTTGTTTTGGACCTTTGTACCCTTGGATCATTAAATCCTTGAACTGCATCCGCGCTACATCTGTCGTCTGCATTTGAGTCCTATCCACTGTTTTTCCTGTTCCCCTGCACATCAGTCGTGACACGAATGGAATGTGTGGGAGTAGAAGTGCGATTCAACAGTCTTTTTTTCACCTTTATTTATTCAGAGGAGTTTTTGCTGAGAGATCACATTCAAAGAACACTCACAAAATTCTTCCTCATGTCTGATCAGCCAAGTTGTTAGTGGAAATGCCCAACTTTTGACTGTATAAGCTTTACATTTAATACATTGGAACAAAAATACCATAAGCTAATTATATTTTATGGCTAAAGTTTGAATTCCTAAGATATAAAGGACCAGTGCGTAGGTTTTTGTGACATCTAGCAACAAGATTGCAACCAACTAAAACCTGCTGACTCCTCCAAGTGTGTAGGAGAAATTAGTGGCTGCAAAACTTCCAAAAAACGCACAAGGCCCCATCTAGGGCAAGAGTGGGCTACTGTAGAAACATGGCGGTGGAAGAGGACTGCACTAAGCCCAGTGATAGTGAATACATTGCGTTTCACTGCTTCACAATAAAAAGCACCTTATGTTTTTTTTTTTTTTACCAGTTGAAGGCTTTTACTGTGCTAGCAGCAGTAGGAAATGTTTGCTTTGCATTAGCAGTAAATAAAAGCTATAATAAAAGCTATGATACGGCTGTAGAAGATTTAACAGTGAACAGTAAGGCTCATATCAATGAGATAAAGTTTCAAATAGTAATGCTGAATTACATGCTGCATTTCCTGTGAATCCCTCATGCGTAGGGAGGCAATTTGAATCCCACGCACTACTGACAATAAAAACTGTAGAGGTACATAATGTAAATATATTGAATGATCATTGTGAAACAAATACATATAATATATAACCTTAAGTAATACAATTTTTTTTGTGTGGTTATTAAATCTATTTCTACAACCTTATGATAATATCAGTGACATCTTCTTAAGGCAGTAAATCAATAAAAGTTATACTTTACACTGATTTAGTGCCAACAAGTTGTGCCTAACAACACATCTCACAGCAGCTGTTCAGAAATCACTGTAAACCTCAGCCTCTTGTGGCTTATTGCTTAATTACGCAGCCCTACACTTGTAGAAGAGTTGTCTCTCTACAGGCTTTTGCCATCATGCCTTACACTGCAGACAGCAGCTTAGACATGGGCCAGGATTAAATGAAAACTAATAATGTGAAATGAAAGGTTATCAAAGGGAGCCTAATGAAGTAATGTAAAACAGAAATGTTCTCTGAAGACACTGTAATCCTCTGCAATGACTGACTGATATTATGTACAATACACACACACACACACACACACACACACACACACACACACACACACACACACACACACACACACACACACACACACACACACCACTCCATCTACTCCTCCTTTCCACCACTATAAATTAGAGACTTAATCAAAATGCCTGATTAAGTGAGAGTGATGCAGATTTAACTACAGGAAAATAAAAACACAAGATTGTACTCTGGTCATCACAGCATGAGAAAAATGCAGTGTCAGTCCTCTTTGGGCTCAATGTAGTAGACATGCAAACAAATAGGAATGCATTACTATGCATGAACATACAATGCAATCTGAACACATATGAACAGCGGCTGACTTTTTTCAGTAGTATTTGTGCCCCCTCCCCCACTGACCTGTGCCCCGATTGACGCAATTTGTCGCAAGCGTCCCAGCATTTCTTCTCAGAGTCATAACTCAGTCAAATTGAAAACACAAAGACATCATACACACACTGCTACAGTCAGCAGAATTCCCTTTTTACAGTGATGTCAAATCCATAAATCTCTTTAGAAATCATATAAAAGGCACCATATATCCGTATAACTTCAGATTTTGGCTCATCATCATTGTGTTTAGACTTTTTCAAACAATAATAGATTTGTTGTGCAGGATAAAGCTTGACATGTTCCACATGTGTTATTTTGAACTAATGATCCTTTATTGAATGTGCCTGACTTGACAGTAGATGAGCTAAAGTAAGGGACCGTTGCAAAATTGCATGCAAAATGTCCAAAACAGCAACAGATTTCATTAATACTTGAAAACAACTTAAAGGTGGGGTAAGTGATTCTGAAGAAATCCAAAACCACGACAAATACCATGATAAAGTGTGAAAAAAGACACAGCAAGTAATGTAACTAATGATAGCTATGCCGATGCTAACATCTCTCCTGCTGCTATCGTTAACGTCACAACAACAGCATATCTTGGCAAAGAAAGAAAGTAAGCTGAATTTCCATGGACAAGTCCTGTTACCTGACACACAAACACAGGCTTGAATGGCTGGAATAAACAGTTAGGGTTGTGTTCTGATCCAACTTGTTTGTTTGTTTTCCCATTCACAGAGCCAGGATGTGTACAGCGCACACACAGAGCGGAAAGCTAACAGACCTTAAGGAAATGTTTGCTGAATTTGAAAAAAAAGTAGTCCATTACCTAGAATAGCTTACCCCAACTTTAATATTCATTTGGGCCCATTATATACAAAAAGAAAAAGAGAAAATCACAGGATGGTCCAGTGCAATTATGACTTGTACTGTATTTTCCCACTGCTACCTCACATTTTATTATATAGCTATTCATAATTTAATTTAAACTATTCCAAATGTGCTTTTCCGTCTGGACTCTTTATACCATTACACAGCTTTTATTATGACTCAGTTTGGCCTTTTTTATAGTAGTTTGGTGTTACACTCTACAATGCAGTGAGTCTAGTGCTTCACTGATGGTTGAATTTCCTCCAGCTCAGTAACATTATTCAGTTGACCTTCTTTCATGTAAGTATGGTGTTTAAGTTCAGAATGGATAAATAAATAGAAATAAATGTTTTGGTCCATATAGGGATATGTGTGAGGAGTCTTAAAAATGTGAATTTGGAATTTAAAATTCTTGTAAGCAACTGTTAAAAATAACTAACCTCACACCTTCATATCTGTCTTTGATATAACCTCAAAACCTCAGTAAGTGCTTTTTGACAAGCAATTTCAGTACTGGATTGTGACAATAGCCTAAAGCACTAAGGAGACTAGGGAATTGGTTTAAGCACGTTGTCTCTTAATTCACAATGTCTATTTCACAATCAGACCTCCTCATCTTTATTAATGATAAAGCAAACAGAATAAACTAATGAATAAACAACAATCTACTGTTGCTGATTCAATGCGACAAACAAACTGACTCATAGAGGGTGGAGTGAGCTACAGCTCTGCAGATTCACTCCAAAAGATCTTTTTCTGGCACACAGTGAGAACATTTCTGACCACTAAATAAAAATAACATAAGAAAACAAAAAGTGATGCTTCCCGTATCAGCCCATTTTATATTACAATGCAACTGTGAAATAATAATAATAAAGAATCTGTGTTCCTAAATGTCTACACACAAGTATTCCAAAACAAATGCATGAAATACTAACAATAAATATACACCACATGGAAGAGTGGCTATTGTTTGAGTGAGGGCCATGGTGTTTCTGCTGAAGGCGAGATAAACAAA